TAGATATTTGAGTTTTTATGCCACGGAAATGAGTAAACCTAGGAAGTGTTCTTTGGAGACACTGATGGAATTGACACTCAATAAAAGGAAGAGACAAGAAGAAAAATAATTTTTATATATATTCGATCTTTGGTGCTTCAGAAATTAGTGAATCTAGGAGGAACCTGATCAGAAATTTGGAAAATTCTACCCCACTGAAAATTGTGGATGATAATTTCTTCCTAGGTTAAATTTAAAAAAACAAAACACGTTTCCACCATGACGCCGATTTCACTAATGGGATCCATTATAAGCCTTATAAATAACAAACAAGCTGTCTTAACTGCAATATAATCAAGGAGAAAATGTCTTCCGTTTGAATTAATACAACCTTTGAATTTCTCAAATGTTAAACTATCTGATTTTAAATTGTTCACCGTTAATATTTTCCAAATTAACGGAACGGTCCGAGACTTTCAAAAATAAATATCGTCCTTGTGCGTACCAGTTCGACAGGTTTTATCTCGATGAAAAATTTTAATATTGAATCGTTTAAAGTTATTTTTTCTAATAATCCATCCACGTGTTTGTTATCTGCTCAATGTGAGTTTCTCTCGAGATAATATCGATATATGTACGATAAATTTTATAATTAATAGCTCTCGGCCCGCACTAGTTTTAATTTTCAAATGGGTCAAGTATAATTTTTAAAATTTTTGAAATTACTAAAAAAAGATCCGACCAAGTTAGATTGGATCATTTGAGTCAAAATTGACAATTATTGGAATAATTTTTTTTTTTAAATTGCCCTATTTCAAAGCGAACATTCTTGTATATAAACACTAACAGACCATGATTCATTGATGTATAATAATTGTATAATAATTTGTGGACAAAGCATGCTGAGTCGATGTTGAGGATGTTGTTTTTGTCTCGGCTTCTGCTTAATGGATCTACCAGAGTGGGTTTTGCCATCTTCAGGAGCAGCTTCGCTTTTTTGCTAACTTTCATTTTAATAAAAGACGATCGCATAAATTTAAACTTGATACGACTTAGATATCAGTTCCTGCTGGTGAAACTAAAAAATCTAAACTCCTAATCCAAATGTATAAAAACAATTATGGAAAAGATACTTTGCTAAAAAGATACAAGAAAAAAAGAAGAGCTTTCATCGAGTTTTATGTCACAGAAATATTAAACTATTGAGGTTTTTTTTTATTTTTATAAAGGTCTTCCAGGTTGATGTAGATAAAAATCCTTGCGAGAAATTTGTAGTACCTTAAGAAAAATATAACAAAAATATATCGGTTGTAATAGTCCAAATAAAATTTTAGAAAATGATACTGAAAAAAAAGGTAACTTTTTGGTTCTTTTTGAGCAATTACTAGTCCCCATATGTAGATTGTTGCCAAAAATGAAAGATTCAATATTTTGAAAAAATCCTAGCAATTTTCGTAGTACAGTAAGAAAAATTAAATGAAAAATATTATCTGTAATAAACCAAAAAATGTTTTTCAAGATTATAGCAAAAAAGGTAAATTCTGCCTCATTTTGAATAATTAAAGTCCTTGAAAAATTGGTGAAATATGTTAAAATTTAAGAGACGTGATACTTAAACAGAATGTTTAGGTTCTCTTGAAAAAAATAAATGCTTATCAAAATTAAGTTCCATAGAGAAGAAATCTCTTCACCATACACAGTAAGAAAAAATTAAATAAAAAATATTATTTGTAATAAACCAATGAGAAAAAAACGAAAAAGATAAGTTTTAAGTATTTGAAAAATTGCTGAAATACGGAAAAATGTAAAAGACTTTATGCTTAAACAGAATGTTTAGACTCTCTTAAAAAAAAAATACTTATCAAAATTAAGTTCCATAAAGAAAAAATCTCTTCACCATACACTATAAGAAAAATTAAATAAAAAATATTATTTATATTAAACCAACTAAATTTTGAGAAAAAAACGAAAAAAGATAAGTTTTCAGTACTTGAAAAATTGTTGAAATACGGAAAAATTTAAAAGACTTTATGCTTAAACAGAATGTTTAGACTTTCTTGAAAAAGAAATGCTTATCAAAATTAAGTTCCATAGAGAAGAAATCTCTTCAGCATGGACAGAAAGAAAAATTAAATAAAAAATATTATTTGTAATAAACCAACTAAATTTCGAGAAAAAAACACGGTAAGTTTTAAGTACTTGAAAAATTGCTGTAATAGGGTAAAATTTAAGAGACTTTATGCTTAAACAGAATGTTTAGACTCTCTTGAAAAAGAAATGCTTGTCAAAATTAAGTTCCATAAAGAAGAAATCTCTTCACCATACACAGTAAGAAAAATTAAATAAAAAATATTATTTGTAATAAACCAACTAAATTTCGAGAAAAAAACACGGTATGTTTTAAGTACTTGAAAAATTGCTAAAATACGGAAAAATTTAAAAGACTTTATGCTTAAACAGAATGTTTAGACTCTCTTGAAAAAGAAATGCTTATCAAAATTAAGTTCCATAGAGAAGAAATCTCTTCACCATGGACAGAAAGAAAACATAAAGAAAAAATATAACGTAAGTTTTAAGTACTTGAAAAATTGCTGTAATAGGGTAAAATTTAAGAGACTTGATGCTTAAATGAACACTACACACTTTTGAAAAAGAAATGCTTATGAAAATTAAGTTCCATAGAGAAAAAACCTATTCATCATATTGAAACAAAGTAAGAAAAACATTATTTTGATTTGACCAAATAAATGTTGATAAAATTATAGCCAAAAAAGTAACTTTTGCCTTTTTTGAAAAACTAAAAATCCTTAAAAAATTGCTATTGATTATTGATTCAATATTTTTAAAAACATCGTAGAAATTTTCTTAGAACAAAGAAATAAAACGAAAAAATGTTACCTGTAAAAACAAAATACATTTTAAGATTATAGCGAAAAAGGTAACATTTGACTTTTTTGGAACAGCTAAAAGCCCTTGAAAAATTGCTGTAATAGGGAAAATTTAAGATGACTTGTTTAAACAGAATGTACAGACACTCTTGACAACGAAATGCTTATCAAAATTAAGACCCATCGAGTGAGAAACCTCTTCATCACATTGAAACGACTTGTTTTTTTTTTTTTTTTCATTTTGTAATACAAGTAAGCAAACAATCCAAGTCAGCAATTTATTAAACAAACACCAGTAACGGAGAATTATTTTTTGTAGAAAAAAACAGTAGTAAGAAAAAAAAATTAAATGTATTAAATCAAATAAATTTTGAAAAAATTATAGCAAAAAGGTAAATTTTGATTCTTTTTGAACAGCTAGAACTCCAGAGACGTCTTCATCATATTCAAACTGTTTATTTTTTCACTTTGTTGAACAAACCAGAGAACAATCCTCTTTCGAAATTTATTAAACAAACACACATGAGAAGAGAAATATTTTATTTTTTAGAAAAAAAAGGCTTAAAATTTTTTCTCGACCCTGGGTTATTGACGAAATTAAAGATTCACTCTTTAGAAACAACCCTAGTAAGAAATTTGTATTATAGTAAGAAAAATATGACAAAAATATATTGGTTGTAATAGATTAAATTTAAAAAAAAAATGATATTGAAAAAAGATAACTTTTTGCTTCTTTTTGAACAACTAAAAGTCCATAGATCTAGGTTACTAAAAATTGAAAAAAACCCTAGCAAGAAATTCGTTGTACAGAAAGAAAAATAAAATAAAAAAAATATCATTTGTAATAAACCAAATAAATTTTGAGAAAATTATAGCGAAAAAGGTAAGAACAATCCTCGTTAGAAATTTATTAAACAAAAACACATGAGAAGAGAAATATTTTTTTTAGAAAAAAAAGGCGTAAAATTTTGTCTCGACCCTGGGTTATTGACGAAATTAAAGATTCACTCTTTAAAAAAAAAACCCTAGTAAGAAATTTGTATTATAGTAAGAAAAATATGACAAAAATATATTGGTTGTAATAGANAGTGGTAGAGCAGCGGCGTATCTAGCCGAAGATCGTGGGTTCGAATCCCGCTCGTGCCATTGACTTTTTTATCTCAACTAAAAACCTTAATTAATTTTTAAATAATGATACTGAAAAAAATCTTTTTGCTTCTTTTTGAGCACCTAAAAGTCCATAGATCTAGGTTATTGTTAAAAATGAAAAATTCACTGTTTTGAAAAAATCCTATCGAAAAATTCGTAGTACAGTAAGAAAAATTAAATTAAAAAATATTATTTGTAATAGACCAAATAAATTTTTTGAAAAGGAGAAAATGGGTAGCTTTTGCCTTTTTTTTGAACAACTAAAAGTCTTAGAAAGTTGTTGAAATACAGTAAAATTTAAAGGCTTGGTGCTGAAACATATAGTCTAGACTCTCTTGCAAAAATAAATGCTTATAATTAAGTTCCATCAAGAAGAAATCACTTCATCATATTGAAACATAGTAAGAAAAACTAAATAAATTTTTTTTTTGTAATACACTGTTTTGAGAAAAAAAGTAAAAAAAGGTAACGCCTTTTTTTCACAACAAAAAGTTTTGGAAAGTTGCTGAAATACAGTAAAATTTAAGACTTGAAGCTTAAACAGAAAGTCTGGACTACAGAACATTTAGACTCTCTTGAGAAAAAAATGTTTATCAAAATTAACTTCCATGGAGAAGAAAATTCTTGATCATATTGAAACAAGTAAGAAAAATTAACTAAAAAAAATGTTTTTAGTAGAACAAATAAATTTTAATAAAATTATAGTGAGAAATGGTAAATTTTTTCCTTTTTCAATAAAAGCCCTTGAAAAATTGCTGTATATTTTGAAAAAAGGCGAAACATTTTGTCATAACTCTAAGTTGTTGCCAAAAATAAAGATTCACTATTTTGAAAAAAAATCTTAACAAGGAATTCGTAGTACAGCCAGAAAAATTAAATAAAAATATATTAGGTGTATTGTAATAAATCAAATATATTTTAAGAAAATCGTATTGAAAAAGGCTTTTTTGAACAACTAAAACTAATTGAACTTGCTGAAATTACCGTAAAATTTAAGAGACTTGTTGACTTTGACTTCCAGGTTTTCCTGATAACGAAAGCCGATCCAGATCCATCGAATAGTGAAGTTTAAACAAACAACATTGGTCCAAAAATTCATTACCACCTTAATAATTCGAAGATGATTATGACTTTCATACGATTCCGTTCTGGCGGCTGGCACGGTAAAAAGGTAAACATCCTTATTGTTTGCCAAATGATTCACGAAGCTGTTCTTGTACACAACCTCTTTTCGAAATAAAAGATAAACAGCGTCTAGAATTGCGCGTTTACCAGGGGGCATAGCTAAAGTTGGCATATCAACGCAATGAAAGTACAGAATCCATCGGAAATGATAAAAAAAATATAAGATGTAATTGATAGAGGATTAATATTTAATTGCTTTATAAGTATAGATACTCTGAATAACAGGATGTATTATTTCACAAATTACATTGAACAGAATCCATTAGAGTTCGTGGTCCGATTGACCAAATAACTAGATAAAAAAGTCAATGTCACGGTCGGGATTCGAACCCACGACCTTCGGCTGAATTCGCCGATGCTCTACGAGTTGAGCTATCCACTCGGACACTAACTTCCCATCTCAACCCACTTTTCGAATTTTCCCTCTTTTTTGTCATTTTTCGTGACACTGGCTTTTTTATCTCAACCAATACCTTACATAAAAGTTTAATTAATCGAAAGAAGTTATTTGGTCAATCTGACCACGAACTCTAACTGATTTAATAAGTAAAAATGAAGTATATCATCACTAAAGCTCTCCGTGGCCATTTCATTTCTCGCCGAGAATCGAATAGATTACAGGACATTTGAAAAAATGGCAAAAAGGAGGGAAAATTCAAAAGGTGGGGTTGAGATGGGAAGTTAGTGTCCGAGTCTTCACGATAGCGCAAGTGGTAGAGCAGTGGCGTATTCACCCGAAGATCGTCGGTTCGAATCCCGCTCGTGACACTGACTTTTTTACCTCAACCAATACCTTACATAAAAATAGAACAGAATATCAACCCTCTATCTCGGTATCATTAAACAACTATTATTCTTAAGACCTTACATAAAAAGAATAATTATTGTTAAGGGTAAGATAGGATTTTTTAAAAAGAAATTATCAATTAGTTTTATCTCAAATATAATAAAAACTGAACACTTAAGATTTATAAATTGCAATAATTTATTTTTATAAAATATTCCTGATATTTATACGAGAGATCGTTGAAACGGAGCAAACAACATTCCGAGATAAGTGAAAATGTTTGGGTGTCGCTTGTATTTTTTTTTTTTTTTAAGTGTATAATTAAGTTCTAAGCATTAAAGTTCATAAATTAAACTACAACCAAATCTCTTTTTCCCCAGCAAGAAGATAGGACGAGCAGAAAACTGGAAATCAACATAAACGAAATTAATGGAATTAATGACGCTATTGACCTGTAGTTTAAAAATAGTGGGCTATCACCCTACTCTGAACTTACCAAGGTCTGGTTTATATAACAGACAAGGTTGAATATGGCAGTATTATTGTTAAATAATAGGTTATAATAGTAGAACGAAAAAATCTAATGTTTTTAATTAATGGGAGGTAAATTTTTTTTCGGTCATGAAGAGAAGGGTTAATGAACCAAATAAAGCCGACCTAATCTAACGTTTTGTCTAGATAACAAAAGCGACGTGTAGTCAAGATTTAAAGCATTTTTTTCTTTTGAAGTTTTCAATTATAGATTAAAAAAACCGATTTATAAATGATCCCTGTGATAAAACCTAATGATTTATTCAATTAAGGCTTTTAGTTGAGATAAAAAGTCAGTGACGAGCGGGATTCGAACCCACGATCTTCGGCTAGATTCGCCGCTGCTCTACCACTTGAGCTACCGTGAGTTCGATCCACTCGGACACTAACTTCCCATCTCAACCCCACCTTTTGAATTGAATGGACTAGTGAATCTAATGGTTTAACTTGGTTTGTACAACCAAAGAAAGGACTTTTATTATCCAGTATATAAAATAATTCAAAAATTAATAGAAGAAACACAGAAGATATTGTTAAAATATAGGTTTTTTTTTAGATGGCCCGGCTGAATTTCTCTTAAACCAATGACGCTATCAAAATAATAATAATAGTAAAATAAATTTAAAAAATACGTTTTTAATATTTTTTAGTTTAGTTTCAAATTTTTAACTTTTTTGTAGAAAAATTATAGTTATATGGTACCTAAGGTCCAGATCAACTTCAAAATTTCAAATACGACCTTGTACATCATGACACATCATTGTAAAGAATTATTCGAGATTGTGAGATGCGATCTGGTGCGAAGTAGGTTTTAGAAAAATATTTTCTTTATCGTGCCAACGTTTCGACCTTTATTGAGATCATCTTCAGGGCTCAAAGTGATTATTTTCCGTATTGATTGAGGATCTCAACACGACGGGCAAGATTCAAAGATCAAAAATTCACTAATTTCGTGGTCCGCGTGACCAATTAATACATTACAATTAATTAAGGTTTTTAACTGAGATAAAAAAGTCAGTGGCACGAGCGGGATTCGAACCCACGATCTTCGGCTTGATACGCCGCTGCTCTACCACTTGAGCGATCGTGACCTCGATCCACTCGGACACCAACTTCCCATTTCAACCGCACCTTTTGAATTTGCCCTCCTTTTTGCCATTTTTCAAAATTCAAAAGGTGGGGTTGAGATGGGAAGTTAGTGTCCGAGTGGATCGAAGTAACGGTAACTCAAGTGGTAGAGCAGCGGCGTATCTAGCCGATGATCGTGGGTTCGAATCCCGCTCGTCACTGACTTTTTCCTTTCAACCAAAATCTTACATAAAAAAAATTAATACAGTAAAATATCCAGCTCCTCGCCGAAATTACGCTGCCGGTTTCTTTTTGCCGTAACTTTGTCATTTTTTGACCAATTTAAAATCCGATTGCACCATTGTTTTCAGCGTTAAAATTCCTTTAGAATTATCTGTCAGGATGTATAGGGCCTTATTTGAAATTTGGAAGTTGAGTTTGGCCTAGGGTACCCTGTATAATTTTTCTCCAAAAAAGGTAAAATTTTAAATTAAGATAAAAAAAAAACACTTTTTTTAATAGCGTCATTCTTTCAAGAGAAATTCAGCCGGGTCATCAAAAAAAACACCCTGTATATAAGGAAATTACGCCACCTTTCAAAATACTTTTTTGTTTAAAGTCGGTTAAATTTGGATAGATAGCTAAAATGAAACACTTTTTGGCGCGTTACCAAAAAAATCAACCTAGTGTTGTGATATGATAAAATTGACTTTTTTGAATATTTTTTTTCCCTAGAAAAACTAGGTACGACAAGAACTTACCAATCCCAAGTTCATTCTTTGGGTAAACTCTGCGCTTATCTCCTTTCTCCCCTTATCTCTCCCGTATACTATCTAATAATCTTTATTTTATGGCATTTCTAAGTAATCTGGGCGATTTGAAAGAAAAAACAAACAGAAATCTCATCTTCATAATGTCCGCTTTTAAAAAATAATTTCTGTTTGCGGTTTGCCTTATTGAGGATGATCTTAGTTTTAAACTTCACGAACCCCATTCAAAAATAATGCTTTTAAAATATGTCACCTTTTGCCCATTTTTCTACAAGAAAATAAAAACAAAACTGCAAGCATAAATGAACTATGAAATGGCAAAAAGGAGGGAAAATTAAAAAAAGTGGGGTTGAGATTGGAAGTTAGTGTTTGAGTGGATCGAGGTCACGAAAGCTCAAGTGGTAGAGCAGCGGCGTATGAAGCCGAAGGTCGTGGGTTCGAATCCCGCTCGTAACACTGACTTTTTTATCTCAGCTAAAACCCTTAGTTAATTTGAAAGATATTAATTGGTCAAGAGGACCAAGAAAACAATGTGTTGCCTGTTTATCGGTGAAAGTGCTGAAGTATTAACAAATGTCGGGTGGCCAAAAGACGGTTTTTTTCTTGTATAAATAATGCTGCTGTTGCCTTCCTGCAGAAGGCGAATCCCTTTCATAAACTTAGGTCTGGTTTGCTTTTATTTTTATGAGTTCCTCAGAGCTGAATGTGGCTAGGTATCTGTTCAATTCTGGTATCCATTGAAGTTGGTTGTGTTTTACCACTTTCCCCCTGAGCACTGCAGCTGTTCAGCTTATTATACTTTATCCCTGGCTCCATTTTTGGGGGCTCGCAACACAAGTGTGCATTTCCAAAGTTAGCCATTTTTTCGTGCATAAACCAGGTGGTCGGTTTTTTTAGGGACAGTGCATTTTTCATTGTTTGTCAGATTGTACATGTAAGTCCAATAAAGTTACGCATATTAAAAAAATTGGCGGATAATTTTAGACCGAATTGTTTGGTGACGTTGGGAATTTGAATCCTTGGTTGAGCCCCACACTTCACAAACCTACGCACACGTCTTATCATTGTTTTGTAAATTAAAAGTTTGTTTTTGATGTCTAATATTGATCGTGAGTCAAGTAGTCTTTTTAATAATTTACAACATCGGTTTGTTTCTTGTGTGGGGATTCCGATACTTTTAACTACGTAACTTTTCGTTAGGTTTATTTTAATTCTCCACTTCGTGGACCATACTATTAATTTTCAGGTTGTAGTTGTAAGTCTTGAGTGTTTTTTTTTATGTGGAGAAGGGTCTGAGTTACATGTAATAATTGCTATATTATCAGCTGAAATGTTAACATGCTTAGGAATTACCTGTAGTGTATATTGAAAATAGAAATGGGCCAATGTTTGCTTCCCTGATTTAAAACGCAAAAATGTCCCTTTGGCACCTGCGTCCTAAGACCAGTGTTGACATATGGGTCGGTGGTGTGGTGGACCGAGAATGTTCAGGCCAAAACAATAAGGCTATTAATTGGCACCCAAGACAAGCCTGTCTCAGTGTCACTGGAGCCATGACGCCAACTGCGGCCCTAGAAGTGTTGTTAAACCACTTCATACTTTAATCCAAGGAAAAGCCAGAACAGCAGCCCACAGGCTCATGATTGGACAACCATCTGCAAGGATAGGCCATCTAAATAAACAATGGAAACTGAGGTAGGAGATCCAAGCAGATGCCATTCTAGGCATGCCAATTGATGCCACTACCCCCAAGTACAATTTTATTAAACAGCACAACGGGATACTAGAACGGGAAGAATTGGGAGAAGGAACAACACTAAAGGCAAACTGGTATACTGACGGCTCCAAAACCGACAAGGGTACTGGAGCTGGAGTCTAAGAGATGAACCCTAAGACCGAACTGACGGTAAACCTAGGTAAATATGCTACAGTTTTCCAGTCTGAAATCATTGGACAAAGCACCAGAGAATT